CTCTTTTTAAGTTCTGGTACTTATCAAATGTGAAGATATAACTGTAGCTAATGACAGTTAAGTTAAAATACAACTCCCAGCCAGGTGTGATAATGCATACCTATATTTCTAGCTACTCAGGAAGCTGAGGCAATTTGAAGATTTAACTCAGCACTGGTATACTTGCCTAGCTCATGTGAGGCACTGGGTTCAGTCTTCAGTAATGCAAAAAACAAAACAAACAAGAAAACCCCCACAACTCCCATGATTTAATGAGGATCCTAAAACTAAGCAGTATAAAATGCTTCAATATGTAAGGTACAGGGCTGGGGTTGTAGCTCAGTAGCAGAGAGCTTGCCTAGCATGTGTGAGGCACTGGGTTCAATCTTTTTTTTTTTTTTTTTTTTTAAATATTTATTTATTTATTTTAATTCTCGGCGGACACAACATCTTTGTTTGTATGTGGTGCTGAGGATCGAACCCGGGCCGCACGCATGCCAGGCGAGCGCGCTACCGCTTGAGCCACACCCCCAGCCCCAAATTTTTTAGTATTTATTTTTCAGTTTTCGGTGGACACAACATCTTTATTTTATGGGTTCAATCTTTAGCACCACATAAAAACAAATAAAGCCATTCTGTTCATCTACAACCACACACACAAAAAAAATTTTTTTTAAAAGAGGTCCAATATAAACATGTTAATCTTACATAAGAACAGCGTGAGTTTACAGTCTTATTTTCTGTTATGCTTTTCAAAGTTACACTTTAAAAAGAAAAACGAAACGGTAGACTTTGATGAAATCAATCTACACACTGAAAAAAGCAGGTCCTAAAAGCAAACATTAAGCTATTAATTTACTATATAGCTCTTTTTCATAATAAAATTTTATAAAGTATAAATTATTCCCTTTCTAAGCAAACAGCTAATCTATACAACATTTTCAGACCCATAATTTCTCAGCAAGCAAGACACTAAAAATTATTTTTTACATCTTCCTTTAAAAAAAAAAAAGATAAGAGTCTATGCTGTCCACAGTGGCCTCAAACAGAAAATCCTCCTACCTCTGCCTCCTGAGCAGTTAGAACTATAGGTTCATGCCAATGAACTTGGCTTTGCCCTCTTCTTAATACCACTAACAAACACTCTTGTATCTAAGCATGTCATAACCCATAAAGAAAAAAATGTAACTGCACTAGATTATCAACAATATTCCAATTTTTCTACTTTTGATAATGTTTCTACAAGACAGGAAAGACAAGGCATTTTTCATATGAAGAACATATAAGCGAAGAAGTGGGGAGGCCTCCTTAATGTTACACAGCATGTAAGAAACATATCCAGTAAGTCGTATCTTAACTTCTAGGCGTGAATTGAACAATTAACCCAAGGAAAGAAAATGGAACAACAGCCAGGTACAGTGGCGCATGTCTGTTAGCCCAGCAGCTCGGGAGGCTGAGGCAGGAGGATCCCAAGATCAAAGCCGGCCTCAGCCACTTAGCAAAGCCGTAAGTAACACAGCCAAGGCTGTCTCAAAGTAAAACATAAAAAAGGGCTGGGGATGTGTCTCAGTGTTTAAGCGCCCCTGGGTTCAATCCCTGGTTTTTAAAAAAAGAAAAAAAGAGGAAGAACATTTTAGTGTGACATCCATTTTTTTTTTTTTTTTTGGCCAATCTAGCAAGAAAATTAAGAGGCAAAAATCATGAAAGCATTCTATTGGTTTTTCTTATTTCTCTTAATCTTCTTCCAAACCTTTCTGATGTACTCCTTTGAAATGGCAAAAGAACATTTATGAGGCACATGGGAGTCAAGGGTTTGAATCTTAAGGGCAACCATAATTTTCATGTCCTACTCAAGTGAAGTCAAGTTCAGGGATGGGAGGTTACCTCATTTTGGTGGTGTCCAGCAGCATTGAAGGGTGGAGCAGCATGTTCCAACCAAATCGGGGCTCCCCCGTGGACTATCTGCTCTCGCAACCACACCAGGCTGATGAACGCACACAATGTGCACGTCACCACAAAACAACCCTGCAAACAATCCGCCAACAAATTTTCCCTATTTAAAAAAAATTATATATAATTACTCCAAAGAATACTTGTAAAAACAGTCAGAAAAATCTAACTTTGGGGGGTGAAAAGCAGTTTCTCCAAAAGAATTATTTGAAATGATGGTAAAATTCAACCTATTTTAAAAGCTAATATATATTTATATTGTATCTATTTTTGTATCATAGTAGACATAACATCAGAACTACATAGCAATTAACTATTCACAGCCTATCCTTTAACTTGGTCAAGAAACAGAAGACAGAAAGTAAACAGCAAACACTTGACAAAGGTTAAGCACTGAATTTACCAAAAGTGAACAACCTTCTCAAACCCTTACAAAGAATTTCCTTGTTCTTCTTTTACTTACAACTTCAAAAACCTAGCATTTACCTAAGTCCATACAAACTAACAGAATCATCAAATCAGAAAAAGAATGAAGCTTCTCCAGACAGGTTTCCTGTATGCCATGTATAAGACAAAAGAAGTCTGATACACTTTATAGAAAATTTTCACTTAGAAAACAAATCAAGATTTGATACTAACTGCAAATATAACAAAGTATATTAGTTCCTCAATAAGTCCAAATAGGCAAAGTATTTTTAGTTTAATACATAAAAATACATGAAATGCTATATAATACTGAAGATCCCTTGGTTCTGGTTCCTTGGTTCTCCTCTCTGAAGAGCTTATCCTTCCTTACCTACACCCATAATTTCAAAATAAAGATAACTCAAAATTATCTTGGCAGTCTTTAGAAAATCCACTATTTTAATGGAATAAATGATTTTTTCCTCCATTGAAAATCTGAACAAGGGTCAACCTGGAAGCATGACCTAGTAGCTCCAAACTATAATTGCACTGGTGTGTCTCCTAAGGGTTATTGTCTGCAATAGCTCATAAATCAAAAGGGGGAATCTTAATCACTTATTGCTAAGGAACTTTCTAGACCATTAAAATTCTAATGTGTTGAGACCAAAGTATCTTCTTCTTCTTCTTTGCCATCAGCAATGAGAATATGAATGGCTCCTGCAGGTTTTAAATGATAACAAACTAACAAATCTAGACTGGTTTTGTTTATTGCCTGGATGTTGCCCAAGTTCTAGAACCAAGAAGGCAGCTTGGGAGTCTACTTTCATTCACCCTTTTAATGCTGTCCTGAGCCCACTGTGTAAAGACTCCCCCCAACCAGCCTTCTGGAAGATGAGAAGTCATGTAAAGGAGAACCAAGTCATCTCAGCCAGGACCATCTTAGATAATCAAGCCCCAATAAAATACATGAACAGCTCAGGCAAGCTCCACAGGTAAACTTGAATGAGCCAAACCCAATTTCTGAGACCTCTGAGCAAATAAAATGGTGGTTCTTTGAAACCACCAAGTTTCAGAGAGTTTGTTCTTCCGTAAAAGAAAACTGAAATGGTATGCCTTGAGATGACCCCAAGAACTGAGTTATGGAATACACAGCAACTGCTAAGATATTAAGGAAATTTAAAGTAAATTTTCAGGCTAAAATAGATCTACTCTATACACTATAAAGAAGAAAAAAAAAAAAAGCACTATTCGGGGTACAGAAAAAAAGCTGTGATAACAATTTCTTTTGTCCATCCCCACCAGGCCTCTAGCATTCAGTGGTGTAACAAAGGTGCACTGAGATGCACACAAGCCTATCAGGACAGGGAAAATATGGAGCCTGCCAACATAAGGCAAGCAACAATGCTTAATACCAAATTATGATACAATGAGACAGCCATAGTGACAAGTTTTTAGCATGTATATTCTAATAATCTCAAGAACATATTTAAATTATTCTCAAACTATAAAAATAGTAAATACCTCAAACTGTGTGAGAGCCATTAAAATATAAAAGGGGTTATGTTTTAAAAGAATCATTTATATATTTTAGCTACTTCCGCAGTTATAACTGTTAGCACAAGAAGTATGAATAACTGTCCTTGGAACAAAAGAATAAATTACTTTCAAAAACAATTATTTTCAAATTACTAATAAAAATTAAGAAAAAAAAACAGTACAAGTTATTTTGCACAACTTTCATTGTCACACGGATTTAATACTCACGTTGAGAGCATGTCTAGCGGCAGTGTCAGTAGTGAGCTCACGGAGCCAGTAAACAAGCACTTGTAGATGCGGCCTACAAAAAAGGGCATGATGGCATACAGTCACAACCGGCATCACAAACTCATCACAGTAGATCAAGAGTTACAATGGAACACTGTGAAAGGCACTGAAACAAGTTTTGTGTGAGTCTCAAAATCCTACATTTTTTTAAAAAAAGATGGTCATGCAAGCATAAAAATAGTGACTAAAGAATATGTTATGGGCTGGGATCGTGGCTCAATGGTAGAGCTTGCCTCACATGTGTGAGGCACTGGGTTCCATTCTCAGTACCACATATGAATAAAATAAAGGTCCATCTACTAATAGATCTTTAAAATTATAATATGGAGGGCTAAGGCTGTATGTAGCTCAGTGGTAGAGCTGAGGCATACGTGAGGCACTGGGGTTGATCCTCAGCACCACATAAAAATAAATAAAATAAAGGTATTGTGTCCATCTACAACTAAAAAATTAAAAATAAATGTTTTCCAAGTTATAATGTGGAGAATTTTTTAAAATCTAGAATTCCAAAGTGTATTAAGTCTATTCATAAGAATAAAATATTTCAGCTTTAGAATTACACATCTTTGAAATTAAGAAGATACTTCACTACAATACATGCTCCAATGCTACAAACAGCAAACTGGCAGCCAAATTTTTAAAAGCACAGATTCATGTGTCCTTAAATAGAGAATATACTAAATCCAGCCCATGAAGGGAAAAGATGAAGTCTGAGTGAATGCTTTATCATCCCTTTATCCTCTTAGTCAGAAAAGAAAGAATGTCTTTATTCAGAAAGGTAGAATGTTAGACATAATGAGTGACTACAGCTTTGGAAATGGGCTTAAGGAAAATGCTGAGATTTTTTTTTTTTTTTTTAATTTTTTATTGTTGGTTGTTCAAAACATTACATATTTCTTGATATATCATATTTCACACTTTGATTCAAGTGGGTTATGAACTCCCATTTTTACCCCATATACAGATTGCAGAATCACATCAGTTACACATCCATTGATTTACATATTGCCATACTGAGATGATCTTTCAAACCAGTACTTGCATATTAGTTTAAAAATTCCCTAGAGTCTTTTTGTTTTTGTCCCCCCCACCCCTAGTCTTACACAAGAAATTTTTAGTGACATCAATGGTGACTTTTAAAAAACAAGTCAAGGGCTGGGGTCGTGGCTCGGTGGTAGAATGCTCGCCTAGCATGCCCAAAGCACTGGGTTAGATCCTCAGCACCACATAAATGTAAAATAAAGATATTGTGTCCACCTAAACCTAAAAAATAAATATTAAAAAAAGTCAAAATGGAAGGTTAGGAAGAGTTTCTATTACAGGAATTACTTAATATGTATATAAGATATCCAAAGCAGATATGCTTGTAACAAAGTAAAACTGACAACACACCAAATGTCAATAGAAAGGAAAATGAGTTCATATATAACAGGATTCTTTACTACAGAATGCTGTGGATCCCTTAAAAACATAAGGTAGCGAGGCAGGAGGATCGAAAATTCAAGAACAGACTCAGCAACTTAGTGAGGCCCTAAGCAACTTAGTGAGACCCGGTCTCAAAATAAAAAATACACAGGGCTAGGAATGTAGCTCAGTGGTAAAGCGCCCCTGGGTTAAATCTCCAGTACCAAAACAAACAAACAAAAAGAAAAACCATAAGGCAGCAGATCATGTACTACATGGAAAGAGAGCCAAGGTACATCACTAAGTTTAAAAGTTATAGAATAAGTACTGTGTGATGTAATTTAAATTTTACATAGTGTGTATATAAACAAGTTAGATAGAAATCAAACATGTTAAATGTTACCAGAATCCTCTAAGGACTTATTTGTTCTTACTATTTGATCTACAGATTTCAGAGAGGTATGTTGGTCTTCCATCATGACTGTAAATGCTTTACATATATCACAGTTCTGTTTTCTAGTATTTAAAAGTTCTTTAATTTTATTTTCTTAGTGGACTACATCTTTTATTAATATAAAATATGATGCTTTGTCCCACTTAATGATATTATACTTTTAATCTTGAATAATATCTGGCCAGCTAACATGGTTCCTGCTATTCGTTAGTATTTGTTAACAAAATTATTTTTCTACCTCATTAACCTTATATTTCCTTCTTGTAGAGCAGTATAATATGTACACAAACTGACACTCTTTATGATTAAAAAAAAGTGTAAACCCTTATGATTACAGACATATTTAAACTTATCTGTTATTCTTCTACTTCCCTTTCTGTTTTTCTCTTCCTTTCTTTTCTACCTTTGGCTGAGCTATCCAATTTTCATTTGCTGTTTCCCTAACTGATAATCCTGTTTCTATTATTATAGCAGTTACTCTATATAAAGTTTTGCTACTTTTTAACTGATACACATTTTTACATAAATCTTAAGTGAACAGCTGCGTGAATTCTTACATATGTATGTATCCAGGTAAATACCAACCAAAGCAAGGTGTTCAACATTTCTAGCTCCCCAGAAGGTTCCCTTAAGCCCTTTTCCAGTCAACAGCACCTACAAAAGGTAATACTATTCTGATTTTTATCACCATATATGAAATTGACCTTTTTTTAAATTTCATGTACATGCAATCATATAATCCATACTCTTTAGTGTGTCAGGCTTCTTTTTCTCAAAGAAGCAAAATCCATTCATGTTATTCCAGTCACAACAGTTAGTTCTTTTACACTGCTATGTAATATTCTGTGTATGGATATATCACAACGTATTTGTACTGTTCAAAGGATTTGACAGGTACCAATTTATTAGCAAAGCTGTTGTACTTGTATTTATTTGTATATTCTTTAGTGGACACAAGGCTCTTATTTTTTTTTTCTATTATCTATAGTCCCAGGAATGAAACTACTACATCATAAGGTATTTGTAATAGCCAACATTAGTAGATACTGTCAGTTTTCCAAAGCAGTTATAACGTATACACTGCCCCCATCAATGTACACATATTTCAGTTGTCCCACCTTCCTAAGCAGCAACTTAATACTGTCAATCATTTGAATTTTAGCTTTTCTAGTGACTATCTTCTTGAGCATTTCCCTGATGACTAATGATGGTGAGCACTTTTTCATGTGTTTACTGTCTACTTAGATATCTTCTTTCCAGAAACACCTGTTCAGCTTTTTAATTGGGTTATCTAGCCTTTTTCTTTCTGGTATATTTACGACTCTTTATATATACTCATAATATAAGTCCTCTGTTGAATATATGTATTGCAAACATCTTTGCTTACTCTGTAGCTTCTTTTTTACTCTTAAAGGCATCTGAAGATGAAGTTCTTAATTCTAAGTTGACTTTATCAATATTTTCTTTTATGGGTAGTCTACATTTTCTAAGATTTTTTTGTTTTTTAACATTCAAACTCAGCCTTTTAACTGATCTCAAATTAATTTTTGTGCCATACTGAGGTAATGATACGTTTCGTGTTTCCCATAGAGCAATCCGGTTGATGCTATCCTGTTTACTGAAAAAAATCATCTTTCCTTCACTGAACTGGGATGCTTTTGTGGTTAATCAGGACACAGTGTAGGTGTGGGTCTAGTTACGGATTGTTTGGTTACTCTTACATTTGGGTACAGTGTAGTGAATCAAAAGGTGCATAACCACTGAGTCACATCCCCAGCCCTTATAATTTTTTTTTTTTTTATTTTAAGACAGAGTCTCACTAAGTTGCTGAGGCTAGCCTTGAATTTGTAATTCTTCTGCCAGAGCATCCTGAGCCTCTGGGATCACAGATGTGAACCATCACACCCAGCATACCCCTACATCTTAATTCACAGTTATTCATCATCTTTCTATCTATATGTAGAGAATTTATAATCTCACAAATAAGTCAAGCAACTTTAAAAAGCTCTCCCTACAACTGCTTCCATGTTAAGGTTACCTGGAATTTTAGTACCAAGCTATTAAGAACTATTAATTATCACAGATTAGCAATAAATGAGCTTAATTATAAGAACAACTTCTTTTTTATTTTAATTTTTTTAGTTGTAGATAAACACACAGTATCTCTATTTTTATGTGGTGCTAAGGATTAAATCCAGTGCCTCACACATGTGAGGCAAGCACTTTACCACTGAGCTACAGCCCCAGCCCACCCCTGTTTGAGTCTCACATCTTTCTGATTCCTTGCTCATTTAAAGTATATTCTAAAACTTTTTTTTTTCATTAAAAAGTTTGAAACGGTAAACTTTCCAAACCCTCACATCTAATGAAATGTTTCTCTATGTTGTCTTTTCAGGTGAGAAATTTTAAGTTCAAAAATATTGCCAAATTTTAAGTTTTTAAGTGGACTTTCCTTTAGCATTACACATGATTTTAAGTCTGATGGCAGTCTGATTTTCTCTACTTTGTAGGACAATCCAGAAGTGGAAGCACATCATTGCTATACCTTTACCATACTCCCTAGCTCTAGAAAATTTGAGATTGTTCAGGAATATGAGACTTTTTCCTTTTTCATTTATTGTCATTTTCTTGCCAAAAAAAAAAAAGATACCATTTTCTCACCTCCATTATCTCTTTTGCCTTAATAGAACTATTTACTAGCAGTTGCTGAAACAACTAGATCTAGCCTTCATCTCTCAGTATGTTTTTTCTCATACCTGGAACATTTGTCTCTTTAATTGCAACCTAGGAGAACTCCTTGACTAAGTCTTCTGTCTCACTAATCCACTATTCAACAAACCTATTCTGCTATTTGGTATATATTTCAATATTTTCATTTCCACAGAAAATCGTGTTAATTTTATTTTAGCAGACATAAGAATATTAATTACATACTTGTTTAAAAATCTTGCTTATTTTTAATTCCAAGAAATCATATCTATATATTCTGCCATTCATATACTATTTTCAATGTCTTTAAGGAAAAGAAGAAGAACAATAATCACCTAAGAGGATTGGTTAGTACACAAGATCCAGAGAGCTTCTTATATCTGAAAGATAAGCTTCCCAATTACTCAGGACCATTAGATCTTATATCTTTAAAAGGAGGTGGGGAGACCCCAAAAGAATCCACCTACTAGAGACCTTAAAAGCTCCTGTATAAGTCAAGGAATAAAATTTGAGTTTCTTTTAATTATGGTTTCATTTTTACTTTCTAAATTCTTTCATGAACTTTCATTATTAACCTCTGTATACTGTATTCTTCTTTCTCACATTCATTTAAGAAACAGACCTGTTTAAAAATTCATTTCTTGGTTGTATCTCAATGCTAGAACATGTTTAGCTGAGACAAGGTCCTGGGTTCAATCCCCAGAACCAAATGAAAATCAAACTCATGCTGAGTTCAGATGAATATTTCCTAAACAAGACTTCCTAATCAATATGACATTAAATACCAACTAATTAAACGTCATTCAAACAATAGCCTGGGGCAACATTTCTTATAATATTAAGTAGTTATACAATGTTTAAGTAACTTTGACATAGGCAGGAATACTCACATGCTGTAAGAGGAACAACTCCCAACCATGCAAAGGCCACAAGTGTATAATGAAACCAATATCGTATTGCAGTGCCAATACTTGTAACCAGTCCAGCAAATATGTCCTGGATTGGAAGCCGCGAAGGCATATCTGGAGAATAAACTTTAAGAGGGAAAAACATACACAGGATTTCATGAGCATTTTAAAATGGCTTAATTCATAAACAGAAAATAAACACTGTAATATCTTAATGTTCAATATATGTATTGTGCTTAAATATTTTTCCAATGAAAATAAAGTTAATCAAATAGTTACAACAATACTACATTTACCCAAGAAGCTGCTTAGGAGACAAATCACATGTAAAATATGGAAATCAACAAGAAAAAAATGCCTAACCAGGAAGAAAAGATTAAGCATTCAAACAATATAATTATCTGGTTTCCTAAGCCATAAAATATCAGGTCAAGAGCCCAGTATAATGGCACACCTATAATCCCAGTTACTCAGGAGGTTAAAGCCAGCCTGGGAAACTTGGTGAGAACCTGTCTCAAAATAAACTACAAAGAGCTGGGGATGTAGCTCAGTGGTAGAGTATTTGCCTAGAATATGTGATCCAAGAGCTGGTGTAATCCCCAATACCACCAATATAGATAGATGGATGGATGGATGGATGGATAGATAGAGATATAGATACATCAGGTAAAAGAAAGAACAAAAGGGAAGTTGATATCATGTTATCATGAAAGAACTTCCCCCAAACACAAGCATGAGGACACAGAACTCAAAAAGCACAACTGTAGTGAAGCCATTTCATGTGGTAGCCACAGTCTTATATTAAGCCAACCCTTCCCCTAATTTCAACATAGTACTTAAAATTTTAAATGATAAATTCATATCTTCCCCCTTCTCTGCAAAATGTGGTTCAACATACTTGGAAAAAGAAAATTGTCAGATTTTAGAAAAATAGCATTTTTAAATGTTTCCAATAAAAACAACTGCTTATTCAAAAGTTCCACTACAGGTAACTCAGAAAAACAGACAGTACAAACAAATATTCAGGAAAAAAAATAAATAAATGGTAAGTTTTGGCAGGCACAGTGGTGCACACCTGTAATCCCAGCAGCACAAACATTCAAGGAAAAAAAAATAAATGGTAAATTTTGTCCAGGCATAGTGATGCACACCTGTAATCCCAGCAGCTTAGGAGACTGAGGCAAGAGGATCCTGAGTTCAAAACCAGCCTCAGCAACTTAGCGAAGCCATAAGAAACTTAGTGAGACCCTGTCTCTAAATAAAATACAAAAATGGGCTGGGGATGTGGCTCACTGGTCCAGTGGGCCCGGGTTCAATTTCTGATAATTAACTTTTTACAATATACAAACATCAATCACTGACTTCAACAGGATATTTGGTAAGAGCAAGTCACTCAGCCAGTAATAATAGAGTTTTGTGAAAGATAAAGGAAACCTCATAAAAAGATCAAATAAAAACTAAAATATACAAAAAGCAGCATTTCTTGGACTCAAAAGAAGCCCACCAAAGATTTTCCTATTAAACTTCATGAATACATTCAACTAGTTTGCTAAAAATCTTAAAGTTATAGAACTAGTATACACTACAAAAAAATAAAAGACCACAAAATAGTTGACATTTTTGATGACAATGAATATAAAGCTCCAAGAGTGAAAATGTGGATTTTTAATTATTTATACTTGTCAAATACAAAGTAAAACTAACATGAATTTACAGTATCTATACTGAGCAGCACAAAAGGCTTTTTTTAAAAAAAATAACATAAGAGATGTTTGGGAGAGAAGGGCAACACACTGAGATTCCAAAATGAAAAATTATACTTCAAATTTTAATTATTTGTCAGTATAGTCTTCCATTTAAGATGAGTAATATTAGATTGTTATCAATAGGCATAGGAATTACTTAAAAGTTTTTAAACCTGCAGAATATTTACAAAAGGCTTACAAAATATGAGCTTAAAAAGTCAGTCTTATGCTGGGCATGGTGACATATTCTTGTAATCCAAGCAGCTCAGGAGGCTGAGGCAAGAGGATAGCACTTTCGAAACCAGCCTCAGCACATAGTGAGGCTGTGAGCAACTTAGCGAAATGCTAACTCTAAATAAAAACAAAATGGTCTACAAATATGGCTCAGTGGTTAAGTGCCCTTGGGTTCAAATCACCTCCCACCCAACACCCCCCAAAAAAATCCAGGCTCAAGGAAAAAAAGGAGAGTTAAAACTTTGTCTTTATTACTATTATTCTAATATACACATAATGTTAGCTCAAAAGATTGTCCAAACTTAATATTTGATGAACTCAAGGCATCATTATCTTTTCTAAGTGGATAATGGTAATATGTATTTTTTAAAACAGAATCCTTACATTTTTAGAGCCACATTCTGAAAAAAATGTACAAATGAAAATATAAACGACAGGATTATTTTTAAAAGGTCAGATAAAAATAATAAATAAAAAGGATGGGGAGATAAAGAAGCATAGACAAAGTAAAATAGGCCATGGGTTGAGATGCAGGTGACACCGAGTGATGGATACATCATGTGAATTCATTATACCTTTGTATATGCTTGAACTTGTCTATAATTAAAAGGAAAGAGTCCTATAAAACATGTGTGTTAGATGACCATTTTAAAAAATATTTTCCTAAATGAAAAAGCATTTTTTCCTATTACTATCAAAGACAATGAAATTAAAAATTGATGCTTTACAATCATTTAAAACACCTTTTGCTGCCAGTAATAATCAAATGTGAAAACATCTAAAGAACTTACTTGGTGTAAAAGCAAATCTGTGTTTGCATAATTCACAGTATTCTTTTCGACTGTGTTTCAGCCACTGAACTAAGCTGTAATTACAAATACATTCATAAATACAATATTTACAACAAACTGAAGTTTCACTGAAAACTAATGTTCTGTTTTTATTAAAACTTAACATATTATAGAGCTTTCAACAATTTTGACAATTTCAAATTTAGAACATTCTTAAACCTTTATCTGCCTTCTAAGATTACAGAATTTACAACTGCTAAAGACAAAAAAATATATATACATATATTATTTCTCTTAAAAAGGTTCATTCAACCTAAATTAAAATCTCTTCAGAGTTAAATGAATAAGAAAATCCCAAGCATCATCATCAGTTTTAATACTGGTTGATAATACTAGTACCTAGTAACTAGGTCTGAATCCTAGTTCTGTCACTAATTGGATGACTACATGGCCTAAGAAAAGTTATTTAACCTGTCTATACTTTCATTTCTTTGTCTATATAACAATAATACTCTACCTCACAATTCTCATGTAAAGATTAGTTAGGATGTGTAAAGCATGAAAATAGTTCTTGATACAAAGTATTTCATACATGTAAGCTATTATTATGCCACTGAAAACTTAAAAAAGAAAATATTTCCCAAAGACAAAATAACTTCTCTATGCTAGAAATAAACAAGAGGGTACTCACAATTATACCAAAATAACAAGCATGGCTTAAAGAACTATGGGAATTTCTTTTCCAATTTTTCAAATTTTTACAACAAAAATTTTAAAAATAATTATAGAGCAAGTTCACTGAAATGATCATTCTTCTTGTGTAGATGACAAAACTGAAATTCAGAGTTATACAATTTTCTAAAATTATGACTTACCATTCTTGATGGATAAACTTAATACTGCCAGTACATACACAAGGATGATAAAGAGGTTTTTCAGGTGTTCCTTCTGACCGACACACTCTACATATGTCTGTTAACAAAAAGAAAAATAGAATTACTCTTGGTTATAAATTTTTTTAAAGACCACCAATACAAAAATATTTTTTGTCAAAACAATAATCTGTCACTTGGCAAAATAGCATGGAGAACTGACAATCATGATTAAGATGATATGCAAATGTGTATCTGAAACTAAGTTTTCTGAAAATGGATTCAAAGGTAGTTGTTCCTTGGCTCCATAAATAAAGTTGAAAATAACAGAAACTGTTGATTTTCTTTAAAACTAAACTCTCCTATAAGTATTGAAAAAATATATGCAAAAACAAATCACCATTAGTACTCTAACAATTTTAAACTCTAATCCTGATAGTTTAGCAATTTAAACAGTCCTAACAATTTAAGCTCCACAAAAATACACCTGAGGACTCAAATCAATAACAGCGGAGGGCAGGTGGCAACAAAGAATAGAAATCCCTATCCTAACCTCTTGCACAAGAACAAGAAACATAGGCGCCGGGGTTATGGGTCAGTGGTACAGCGCTTGCCTAGCTTGCCTAGCATGTGTGAGGCATTGGGTTCAATTCTCAGCACCATATATGAATAAATAAAGGTCCATCAACATCTTAAAAAAAAAATTACACATATTTAGAGTTGAGAGAACTAGACCACAAAGATGCCACGTCAGAAAGAGGTAAACCAGAGGCCACCATAAGCAGAAGCCGTGGGAATCCAGGATTTATAGCTATGTAAAGAATGACAGTTTTCCCCACCACCCACACCAAGCAGCTTTAGAAAAACATTTGTCTGCTCTTTAGCCTAAGGTGGCCAACAACACAACTCAGAAGAAAACCACAACTGATCCTTGGCACGCGCTCACTCACTAGCCTGCTTCGGAAAGCTCCTCCACAGGTCCACATATTGAAATCTGGTTATTACTTTTATGTAGACCTCCTCAGTTATCCCTCAGGGCCAAATGCTGATACCTAGGACCATGTGCACAAGAGTCAGAGACTTGGGCTGCTTAAATCTTTGGTGACAGATGCCACATGATAAAGCGGAGAGATACCAAGTGCTAAGGATCAGTTAACTGGTTATCATGCTATTAATTAATTAACCAGACAAATCTCTCCACCAAAAGAGAAAAGTCACACATCCCATCCAAAGAAAGCTATCAGTAAGTCAACTCCATCCATAGCACAGTCTGGTGAAGTTGCCAGTATTGATTCAAATTAAGTGCAGGCAGAGCCTATAGAAGACATTTC